ATATTATTATATTATATTATATTATACATATATATATATATATATATATATATATATATATATATATATGATATATTATAATATATTATATACTAAATTATATTATAATATAGTACTATATTACTACAACTAGTACTATGAGTACTATATACTATATTATATTATAATATAGTATACTATATTACTACTACTATTATATATATATTACTATATTATTATATTATAATATAGTATACTATATTACTACTACTATTATATACTATATTATATTATAATAAGTATAGTATAGTATATATAGTATATATAAGAATAGTATATATTATAATAAATGTTAATATAATATATTATAATATTAAATAATACTATAGATTATATAGAATAAGATAATCGCTCTTAATTCACATTAATCTTTACATTAAAAACTATATTAATCAATTAATCGTTGCTGAATTAAATCAAGAGGGGAGACGTCAAAAAACTTATAAAATATTCGTTGTACGAAGAAATATTTCAGATAGAAGTTGCAATTAAACAATCAATCGATCAATTGATAATCGAATAATTAATAAGTATTGATAAATTTATAATTGTTGAAAGGTAGAATCTTATTTGTTCGTTATTGAAAGGTAGGTCATGGTCTTTGGTCTCAGTTTCTCTATGAAATGGAGAACTAGGATTTATCATAATTAAAATGATTAGAATGAACAGTCGTTTCAACGCTTAAACGGTTAATGCTTATTAAAGAAAAAAAAAGAGATCAAGGCATGATTAATGATTGTACTACGTTAATCATGACCAACGATTACATCTGCTCGGATTACTTCAGTTGTTCATTAATCACGATTGCTTGATTATGATTCACGTTGGTCGTCGTAATTAGACTGCGGATTTGATGCATTCGTGGGAAAAACGAGCGGCTGGAATATGAAACTGTGATGGCACAAGATGAATTTAGTAATGTTCTCGTGTTATTTTCAACTTGTCAAAATTATTAGAAGGAACAATTTGATTTTGTTCGATGTCTGTTGAAAAATTGTTGTTCACGCTAATTGCGAAGTCACCGAATTGTTATTCACTCTAATTGTGAACACACCGAATTGTTATTCACACTAATTGTGAACATACTGAATTGTTGTTCACATTAATTGTGAACACACCGAATTGTTGTTCACATTAATTGTGAACACACCGAATTGTTGTTCACGCTAATTGTGAACACACCGAATTGTTGTTCACGCTAATTGTGAAAGCACTGAATTCTTGTTCACGCTAATTGTGAACACACCGAATTGTTATTCACGCTAATTGTGAACACACTGAATTGTTGTTCACGCTAATTGTGAACACACCGAATTGTTGTTCGCACTAATTTTCTTTCGGCAGCGCGTCGAGCGATCGAAACAAAGGTCCATGCCCTTTGCGGACTTCTCAGCCGGTGTTCGTAGCCGATCGGCTCAATTCCGCCGCGATAAAATACAGACTTTTTCGAAACCGTGAAACCACGTTTGACCCACATATCCGACAACGGGCTTTCGAGCCGATAGGTACTTGCGACACCGTGCAACGTGATCTCCGGGAACGGCACGCTAGCCGTCCGCGGCTAGGCGGTTCGCCTTTTTTCGTTTTGATCCCAAGTTTCTTTAGATTTACGTCACTAGGTGCCAACATACGATACCATTCGATACCATTCGATTTCATACGATACGATACTCTATACTCTTGTTCTGTACCAACGTCTTTTCATATCTAAATTATACGTATCGGGTGTCCCATGATTATGTTAACACGAGGAGGCGATTCCTTAGATCATTTCAAGCAACTTTTTCCTCAGCGAAAATGCGATCCGCGGCTTCGTTTACGAGTTATCGACGAAAAACAGTGACCAATGAGAGGCGAGCGCGGCCGGCGCTCCGCCCTCGCGGCCAGTGGCGCGTCGCGCCGGCCGTCTGACGCAGCGGCAGTGGACACGAAGGCGGGGCGTCGGCCGTACGCGATCTCGCATTGGTCCACGTTTTTCGTTAATAACTCGTGAACGAAGCCTCGCAGAACATTTTCGCTGAGGAGAAAGTTGCTTCAAATGACCTCAGGAATCAGCTCTTCGTATTAACATAATTATGGAACACCCTGTCGATACTAATCTTCCTGTTTCTCACCTAACTTATGTAAATTAATATTCTTGATTAGTCCATTGTTACCTCGTATTTCTCTACTAATTCTTTGACAGAGTACTTTTAAATCTCTATGTACTTATGACATTTTCTTATCTTATCAACGAAAACCCGAATATACTTAACTAATAATATAAAATAAAAAAGTAAGGCTTAAACATATAATTTTAGTTATCACATCTTTTTTTCCACTTTTAGTACGGGAACCGACCACCGTGCGACGTTGCAACAGAAACAACGCAGACTGTTCTGCAATAACGAAAATAACAATGCAAACAATTTTCACAAATATTATTCAACTGTGCAACGATTATTACGCGATCGCTGGCGCAACGCTATACTTATCGACGGGACCCAGTTACATCGTACAGCGACACGACCCAAAAACGAAAACGAAACGAATCGTAGCGGCGGCATGGGCGCCGCCGCCTCGCAGCCGCAAGCGCGCGCGCCGAACGAAATTGACGCAACCGGCGCGCTTTCACGCGCCGTCGCGTCGGCGATCGTTTAGGAAATTTCGAAACGGAAGAGATTACGCGACGCGACGCTGCGCGACCCGCCCCGCCCCGCCCCGCCCACCGCCTCCCGCCCCCACCCGTTCGCGACGGGGCACCGCCAAACGGAACACGTTTTTAATCGAACCGTTCTCGGCTTTGTGTTTCAGGATATATAAACTGCAATGCCAGCACGCTGCAGTCCCTCGCACAGCTACACGGTGAGTGAAACCTGCTTGTTCGTCGGCCCGTTTTTTCGCCTCTCCTCCCGCTGGTAGAGGGGAGTGGGGAGGGGGGCTCCTCCGGCGCGCGTTCGGGTGCGCCCCGTTTCCCGAATCGTGTGCCGCCGATCGGCCCGGGAACGCCGGGGCCCGTTCCGCCGGGCCCATTCAATGTTTCCCCGTTCGGTCGGATCTCGGGCTCGCCGGCAGAAGAAGAACTTTCCATCGGAGGCTAATTTCATGCAAAGCATCGCGATCGAATACGCGTTTAAAACCTTCCGCAATTCACCGGTTGGCCAATCGCTGGAACGGGCACGGATCCAAAGAAGCGTCGTCGGTTTGCGAAACGCGTGGACGAGCCGTTGGAAGTCTTGCGCGGAATGTTACGCGTTTCTAGCTCTCGCGGTCCGTAAGTCCCATAGCCCCGTAGCTCGCAGCCCCATAGCCGGCGCGAACGAGCTAGCGTGTCCTCGCTAACGATGCGCGTCGATTCCGTTCACGGTCGCCGACCGTTTGGCAACGCAAATCGCGGGACTACCGGCGACTATAGTTATTTCTCCCTGATTATATATTTTATATTAATATTGTATAATATTATACTAATTTATTGCATTATATAATATTATACTAATTTATTGCACTATATAATATTATACTAATTTATTGCATCATATAATATCTTATATTAATTTATAGTATTATATAATATCAAGTTAATATGTTATATAATACAATATCATATTAATTTATCGTATTATGTAATATCTCATAATAATTTATTATATTATACACGGTGTGTCCCAAAATCATAATACTTCTGCGTAATGAGAGATTCCCGAGGTCATTTGAAGCAACTTTTTCCTTAGCGAAAATGCGATCCGTGGCTTTGTTTGCGAGTTATTAACGAAAAACAGTGACCAATGTGAGATCACGCGCGGCTGAGGTCCCGCCCTCGCGAGAGCGGGTGCGCTCCGCCCGCGTCGCGTTGGCCGTATGACGCAGCGGCGGTGGCCGCGAGGGCGGTGCCTCAGCCGCGCGTGATCTCTCTCATTGGTCACTGTTTTTCGTTGATAACTCGTGAACGAAGCCTCGGATCGCGTTTTCGCTAAGGAAAAAGTTGGTTGAAATGACTTCAGGAATCTCTCATTTCCCGGAAGTACCATAATTTTGGGATACCCTTTATAATATTATTATTCCATATACTACACTATATTACACTATTCTATACCGACAATCGACAACTATAAAAACGTGCCGCGATCGTTTACGCGCCGAGCGGTTCCAAGTTCAAGGCTGCCGCTGCATATTCAACGAATGCAGATCGCTCGCGGACCGCCGCCGACCGCTATCGTAACAATAAATGCGTCGACCCGCCGACCAATCGAGTGCCAAAGGCAAAAGCCAAGGAACAGAGGACGGCCGAGTTGTGCGGACGTTGCAACAGCATTCGTCGTCGTCGTCGTTTCCATTCGGACGTTCATAGGCTCTCGCGAATTTCGAGCGGACACTGAAACGTATCGGAGCCAAGGCACAAGGTTTTCCTTGTCCCAGATTTCTAGCATCCTTGGCAAAGTTTACGCGAACTTCTCCGTTTCCAGAGTGTCGTTGCAGTCCTCGAGGCTCGTCGATTCTGCACCGGCACCGTCGATCGGTCGGAGAGACTCGCGGCGCTGGAATTCGTTGGCTTTTGTCACCTTCGTTGGTTTCACCTGCGGGGACAGTGTCTCTCGAAATTCTCGATGATCCGAGAGCGTATATATTATATTAATATAGTTATAATTAATATTATAATAATTATATAATAATACTATATTATATATATAATAATAATAATAATAAAATATTATATTAATAATGTAATATTGTATTATTATAATACAATAATAATAATATAATAATATAATATTGTATTATATATCATAGGATATATATATTATAATATATATATGCTATATTATATATATAATAATAATATTATATTAATAATATAATATTGTATTATATATCATAGCATATATATATATATATTATAATATATATATGGTATATTATATATCTTATATTATATTATTATAATACAGTATTATATTATTAATATAATAATATTATTATTATAATATTAATAATAATTATATTAATACATATATATATTAATTGCACGTGCTTGTAGATATATTTAGCAATATACATCTACAAGCACGCGCAATTCGAGTCCGTCATAATGCTCGACCTATTATTTAAACTAATTCATTTCGAGGAGCATTCTTAACATTATTTCCATAATG